AGAACCTGAAGGCCACTGATGAAGGTCATGGAGTTCCTTAGCCTTAAACTAGCCTTAAATGATCTAGAAATCAAATGAAATCAAGGGGTCCCAAGTTTGATCCTACACTGTACTGATTTTTGCTGAATTCCACGTCCCCTGAAGAACTGTCTGAGTACCCGGACGCGGTCAACGCAGGATCGTTGAACTTGTTGAATCTCATGGTCTCTTGCGATCCTGTTGACAGGTGACTGTGCAAAGCTGCTTTCACATCTCTCACACTCCCTTGCACAGCATTTTAAGTTGGTATCCTCCCTTCCGTAACACGGAAGTTTGAAGATCCACCCATCTGTAGATACTTTCCTTATATACTTTCCTTACAGTATATGAAATGATGAAATGATATACTATGATCAAACCAGCACCAAGTGTCCACCCTGTGCCTTCGAGGACGTAGGCATTGCTGTCCATCAACCACAGATACCTTGGGCCATGCGCCGTGGAGGTCAGTTGGGGATGGAGGTCAACTCACCAGCTTCTGGACTTGTTTGATTTACATATGATCATATCTTGCATAATTTGTAATATCATATTATATTATATATAAATATCATTATACAGTTATACAGATTGATATAATATTATACGTCCACATAACTAGGATTGATCCATCCAACATCATCCAATCTGTTTCTTTTAAACAAGACTGGAACACTTTGATACATGTCTTCCTTGGGTTCAACTTGTGTACCCCAAAATCCAGGTTGGAAAAATCCAAAAATCGGGACTCTGTTCACCATATGATCCGTATGTGTTCACCATATCGGATACGTCAAAATTTGGGCCATAAAAATATGGGATTCTTTGAAGCTAGGTTTCAAGTGATAAAAAATTGATGTCTCATTGAAGTTTACTGAGTTTACTGGATATATATGATATGATTTGAAAGAACCCGTATCCGATACAGTTCCTGCAGTCCTGCAGTCTTCAATTTGCAACCATCTCATGGAGGCTCTCCAATCTTCTTTCCCCTGAGTCCTCTACCAGCTGGAATGCTGCGTAGTGTCATAGGTCGTGGGATGGAGAACCTGAAGAAAAAACAGCAAAATGGCATCGGCAATGTGCGCGCGCATTGCACAAATATGTGGTGACGATTGAGCATCTCTCTGATGATTCGCAGTTGGAATTGCTAAGATCGTTAGTAACCACCCAATAAACCACGTGATGATTTTATGGAATATGTTGGAATCCAGGCAGCCCTGTTTTGGCATCCTACAAACAGTTACATGGCAACTGAAAAAACCAGGTGACTTCAGCAAAAAATGCTGTTGGGAAGCCAATCCTGGCACCACCATGGTACACCTAGGTCTGTAGAGGAATTGCTGCACATTTTACCCTCTGGTAAACTAACATAACTATAGAAAATCACCATTTTTGATGGAAAAACTCACTATAAATGGGTCATTTTCAATAGCTATGATGTTAGTTTACCGGAGGGTACCTCCCAAAATTCTTCCAAGCTTTGCTGCATTTCTGTGTGAAAATCACCACACCAGGCATCACCAGGCTCCCAATTTCTTGGTCACCGACCCGAACTTCGTATCCGTAGTAGAAGGGCGCATCGATAATTCCACCCACCTGCTGAACCAATTGGCACAGGATGTTTCAAGAACCCCTAAAGAATCCCTGAATCCAACAAGTTCCAACAAGTTTGGAGATTCTTGGGGTGCCTAAGTATGATTCAGCAACAACAAACGCACCTTGCCAAAGAATATCGTCAAAATCTTCGATTTGGGGATCATGTTCCCATGGCCCAAGTTCTCCTGGGACTCTAGGGGATACCCTGTGGAAAGCCAGCTACCAGCTACCACCTGCAAGCGTGCGCGGTTGAAGGTCGCTTCCGTGGTTGGGAACCTCAGATAGCAGTTCACCACTGAATCCTGGCTATTCCTGGCTTCTACGTAGTCCTTTGTATCAGAATTCTTCGTATTTCTTCCTTTCATTCATGATGTTGGCGTCATTCTTCGTGTTGATTTAAAAAAGAACCTCTGTTTGTGAAGAACTGAAATGCTGCTTTTGATTAAAAAAGAACTGAAATCCGATCACCAAGCAGCCAATTTGTTTGGGGGGCCTTGGTGTCAAAGGGCCCAGTCCCCGGGACACATCTTGCAGCACAGCAACTTCTGCCCTTGGCAACTGCCCATGTTCTTCAGCCTCGCCATGCTTTCGGGCGACCCATGGGCAACTGGAAAACCAGGCCTAATGAATTCTTCTGCGTTGTACCTACAAACAAATAAATAGTATATATATTGTATATGTATAGTTGTAAGTTGTATACGTTGTATATATATATATTATAATAGTTATTATATATAGTTATATATATAGAGTTATATATATAATTATATATCCGCGCTCAGAATTCAAACATACTAGTAGTTATAAATCATCAAAGAAACCCTCAGCCAACATAGCCTTCCTGCTCGGTGGCGAACAGCGGAGCTATTAGCGGTCGATCCAATACCGGTTGCGTTCGAAAACTGCCATGGTAGCTCCTCATGATCACCCCTTGAAAATATCCCCAAGAACTGAGGTTGTTTTCAGATTGATCCATCCTGCACTGCCAAGGCTTGAGGTTCGAGTGTCGCCGGTAGGAGCTAGGAGTGATGTGTAAGAACCTCAATTGGATCTGAGAGACAGATAGAGACAGTGCAATGTTCGACATCAATTCAGACACCTGGGCCAGAAGCAAGACACAAAGCCGTTCGTTCCTCCATCTCAAATGGCCGGGGTCGGTATTCTGAAAGATCTGAAAGGGCAAACAAATCAGAAGACTTGTCAAAGCCAAACTTTTCCGGGCTCACTGTGCGATCTCCGTGGACGCGAGATACACATGGATGAAGAACTTGGGACTTGCTGGCCTGGCACATCCTTCAGCGGCCAGCAAGGGCGGCATGTGGAACGCTCTTTCGTGCATTCGGCCACGGATCCAAGCCCAAACCGCGAGCGCGACAACAGGAGCCCAATGGGAGGTGTTTCAGGCCTCGCTCATCTTCAAGGATAAGGGTTTGTCCCAAAACGGGGTATGCCTCAAGTAAACTCACTTTGCGCTATGGAAAATGGACCATTTATGGACGATTTACCTAGTAATAGTGGCCATGTTCATCCATTTTCCACAGCTATATTAGTTTACTGGAAGGTCATCCATGTTTTTTGATTGATCATTTATTATCCCCATTTAAATAAGATATTGTATCTCATTTAAGTCTGGATAAGCCATATATCATAACTCGGCAACCTTAAAGAAGGCCATTTTGGGATGACTACCCTTACTAACCACAATCTATCCAGATAATTACCCTCTGATAGTCATGGCAAAGGAAAAGCACCCATTTATAGATGAGTTTCCCATTACAATGCCCATTTCGAGTGAATATCAAATGATATGCAGGAAACTACTGGTATTACTGGTCTCAAGCTTCCAGGATCTTCGTTGTCTCCAACCTAAGATCTCATGTGACCTTTTGAGTCGTCGCTTTCAATCCGTTCAACTTCTGGGTAAACATATTCTGTAGTACTGGTCCATCAGTCACGAACTGACCGATGTGAAACATGAAGAAAACAAACTTATCGAAAAGATATTATGACATGTTAAGTTTGATTACCCTCTGGTAAACTAACATAGCTATGGAAAATCACCATTTTTTATGCGAAAACTCACTATAAATGGCCATTTTCAATAGCTATTTTGACATAACCAGAGTGTACATTGATTAATATTGATTCTCCAGTCGCTGGTTGTCATCCATCACCCCACCATTCTGCGCCCAGCCTGTAGAGGCGTGATTCAAACTGACCCACAAACGCGTAGTAGCGCCTTTGTCACAGCCAAGGTGAGCAAGGGTGCTGAGCACTTCACCACTGTCCCCAAAGTCCCAAAGATCATCAAACATCATCAGGATATCCGTTGAAGACACGTGAAAAAAAAACATAACGAAACCCAACATTCACCTAATCCCTGGTAATTTAACATAGCTATTGAAAATGGCCATAGAAATAGTGGATTTACCCATTGAAAATAGTGATTTTCCATAGTTTTTTGTATGTTTACCAGAGGGTAATCCCTATACATCCCCATCCCTATCCCATGAGCCGCGCACTCTGGCAGGTCTCGAGCAGTGCAGGTGGCATCAAAGTTGAAACCACTGGGAGCATCAAAGACGACATATCCATTCTGACCTCAGTGAGCTGCCCCGCGGACAACTCATTCAATGGATTGGTTTAAGGGAAAAATTACAGGAAAGCCCCATATTTAATGGGAAAATCTATGGTTTCCTGTAGATGTTCCCTTTCTCCAATCCATTGACTCATCCACCTCTGGTGGACTGGGAAATTCTGGCCACTTTCAGATAGATCCTCGTTGGGATTTTCTGGAAAAAAACATGTATTTTATCCACAAAAAATGCTTCATCCACTGCCAGGATAGCTCATCGCAGCACAAGTAGACAGCCGTTGAGCATCGTTGAGCTGTGAATTTAAGTGACCGTCGCATAATTTGCATCTTACCCTTTGCATAGCATCGACTTCTTTGCCCCCTGTTTTATCTCCATCATTAGTGGCACATCCTTATATATCAAGAAGGACAACAGCAACACCATCATCAGCATCATCATATTACCATTGTCACCACCATCATTATCAGCAAAAATTTCTGAAAACTCAACAGTATTACCGAGGGACCGATATACGTGGACGTGTAGAAGAAGACTCGCAGGAAGTCCTTCGCATTCGCCGGAACGGTCGGAACGGCCGGAACGGGTTTGATGTGTCGAGATGTGTGGGTATGGCTGTGAGGGCATCGCTGTCTCGGATACCGTTGTTTTTGGATCCCAAGCGAGAGCGGCCTGCAATTCAGTCAAGAGGCGATGAAACCGACTGAGCCAATCCATCGAGTTGGTAATTACATCGTTTCTCCCCATGTTAATGGATAGTTTTATAAGCTGAGGATGATACAAATTAAT